AATTTTGAGTTTCATTAATATTTAAAAAAAAAAAAAAAATTGGTCATTCCACTTGACTAATAACAAATATTTTGTTTTAATGATAAAACTTTGTGGATATTTTATTTTTCATAATGTTTGCTTATTTTTTAACGAATCTTTAATTTCCAAATAATTGTCTCATTAAAAATATGTAATAACATAGGCACCTCCACGAGATCGCTAAAAAAAGAGCATAACATGATGAAAAAGATGCCAAACTTGACGAAAACAAAATTTTATCATCTAAATGTTTATGTTATTATTAAGAAGAAAGATCAAAGTATTTTGGGGGTATTTTTTTTTTTTTTAATTTTTAATCATTCCTAGCACGTCCAAAATTTTTGTTAAAAAAATTTTTTTTCGAGTCAGCAAAATTGACCATTTTTTTCATTTTTTTATAAAAAACTGGAAAATCTCACTTTGAAATTTTTTTAAATATCAATTATCATTTTTTCAAAACTTATTTTAAGAAAATCAGAAATTATAATGTTTATTTAAAATATTTTGAACCAAGCTTAACTTGGCCTCTGCGCCGAAAAGATGTAATTTGAAAATAAAAAAAGCAGGTCATAAACTTTCACATCACTTGACAGGTGATGAATGTCATAATGATGGATTCCGTGAGGATAATTTGTTCTACGGAAAGAGAAAAGTGAAATAATTTACATTTAAGTGAACAAATTATTTATCTTGTTATTATAAGGAAAACTTTCAGTGCTCTAATTTTTTTTTTTTGTACTTGGCTTTCACCCTTATGTTTATGATGCTTTATGGAAAATATATTATAAAGAAATTAAAATAAGACTTAAGAGTGAGATTAAATTTCATATTTCATAAGAAAGGTATCCAATTAATTTATAGGTACCTTTCTTATGAAATTTTATCAGAAGTGTACATAAAATACTATAATTTTATGTACATTTATTACATTTTACTGTGTTATTTGTATTTCAATTCATTTTATTATTAATTTTGATATTTCATTTATGGAAAAATGTCATAATTGAGATTAATATAAAAATAAGATCATATAAATTTCATAAGATGATACTGATACTTGTAGGTACTCTTCTCAGTTGAAATTGAAAAATCAAATTAACTTCGCCACACGTGTTTCACAAAAGTAAAGGCCTTAACAATGGAGAACAATGTTTAACTCAAATAACGCAACTTAATTGTATTTTGGTTGGTCTTCCATACTTTATAATTATAGCCCGATTATAAACACAAAATTACATTTCTTAATTACTGCGGATCTTCTGATCCGTCAAAATGATACAATTTACAATGCGCTAAAAAAAAAAGATCTATCTCATAAGGAGACTTAGGAAACCTGATGTGGCTTTTAACTAATTTTATAACATTTTAACAACTTAAATCTAAAAATCTATTATAATTAAGAAATAACAAATAATTGTATTAAAAATATTAAAAATTTTTCATCAAAAAAATTTTCCGCTTTCAGAAAATATTGTCCATATTCATAAAAAGCAAATAAAAACATTTGAAATTAAATAATAGTTTTTTTTTATTGAGTTTCAGAGTTGATTTTCAGAGTGTGATTTTGTGTGTGTGGGGGGTTCAATTAAAAAAAAAAAAAAAAAATTTGCATTCCTCAAAGCCTTGAGCTTTTTTTTTAACTATTGTAATCACTAAACCCGATGCGATCGAATTTCTAGCGTTTCCATAAAATTAGTTAGGGGGGTGATAAATATAAAAAAATATTTCTGCCATGACTTTAATAAAAAAAACATTTATAATAATTTCGATCATCTCTGAATAGTTCCTGAAGTTTCATTAACATCCGACAATTATTTTTATTTTTGCGAGATTTTCCAAATTATGTGTGTCATAAAAAAACGTGCTAAAAACTGTCTATGTTATTCTACTAGTTCCGGTGATACAAAGAGAAACAAGGGTTTTTTTTAATCAAAATTTAGAATGTTCTAAAAGGGAAAAATTAAAAAAAAAAACTTTGGTCTTTCCTCTTAATAATAACAATCATTTAGAGACGATAAAATTTCGTTTTCGTCAAGTTTGGCGTCTTTTTTTTCATTCTCTTTTTTTTAGCGATTTCGTGGAGGTAACACTAACAGTAAAAAAGAAAAAAACCTTATGAGTATAGATTAGAAAGTCTCCGTTACAGACAAAAATGTAATTTTATCTTTAATAAAAAAAAAAAAAAAAAAAAATAAGTATTTCGAATAACTTACAGAAATTACCATATTGGATAAAAAACTAAACAGTAAACACCGAGTATTTTTCAACTACAAACCAATGCAAGAACCACCAACAAAATTTTATTGAAAAAAATAAATAAATAAATAAATGGTAAGGTAATGTATCTGATGATTCGTGTACGAGTTATAATTAAAAAATTCATCGTCAAATTATAAAACTCCCGCCATTTGAAATTCTGTTACAACGAAGCCCCACACATAAAACTGAATGAAGAAAAATGTTTGTGGTTTTATTATCGAACATAATTTTAACTATTAACACTATATATATATCCCCATTTAAATAGAAAATTAAGAAACCTGTGATTACATTTATAAAAAAAAAAATGTAGATTTAACTTTAAACATTTTTCTTTCTCCTATCAAGCAGCAACAAGAAGATCGAAAGAGAGGAGTGTTTTTGTTTTTCATGTCGACTCGAATTGGTCGTTAATTCATTTGTATTGTGCAATATACAATTCGTAGATCATACAATAGTTTATAACATTTAAAACTAGCTTTAAAATGTTGCAGATAGTGGCATTATTTTTTAGTTAGGAAAAAAAAAGAAGAAAAGTCCCCTTCGTAAAGATTTTTTTCGAGCGCGCTAAATACAAGACTAGCTCTTCCTCTTCAACAAGCAGTAGCGAGGATAAACCAATTCATTTGACCTCTTTTTCATGTTATGGATACCCAGAAAGACAACAATAATTGGATCATAATACATGTATGAATAAAAAAAAAAAAGATATTGTATCGATATAAGCCATGTAATAATAACGATTAAAAGAGTTTTTCATTCAACGTGTACGTTTTTTAAGAAACGGAGAGGAAGTTTGTTTTGTTTAAAATAAATAAATAAAACAGCTAAAATCTAAAAATTAATCAGATTTTAAAGTAAACTTTTTTCTTTTTCAAGGTTGCGGATAACAAAAACCGGTAACAAATTTTAATTGTAAGGGAAAGAAAAATTAGGGAAGCATATCCACTTACTGAATGTTTGAACTATACGACTAAAAATAAAAGTTTTTGTTTGAGAGATCTTTACTTTCTATAACATCGAAAAGCAACATTAACACACCAAATTTGGCCCCGTACAATATTCCAAGTTGACGTGGGAGATAAATAATTAAAAAAAGAAACTTTAAATTTCACCCTCAAATTAATTCAATTATTAAATTTTCATTTTTAGAACTTAGCCTTTGGAATAGATTTAAAAATAAGTAATTTTAATTTCAAAACGAAATTTTATGTAACCGTAAACTAAACACCGACTAACAAAAACCGTATTTAATCACAATTTAAAATTTTGACATTTTTTTAACACAAAAAAAAAAAAAAAAAAAAAAAAAAAAAATTTTTTCAAATTTTGGCATGAAAAAAAAAATAATTTGAATTTAAAAAGATAAGTAAAATCAAAATATGAACTGAGAAAAAAAAAATAGGGCTGAAATTATCTGGTTTGTTAACCATAATCCTCAACATTTATGCAATTAAAAAGTTAAAAACATTTTTTATACCTTATGTTTAGTTTATGATTAACTAAGACTAGGGAAATCGAAAAATAAGACATTCATTGAATTGATTTTGTTTTGTTTGCTCTTTTTAGTTACACGTCTCCCTTGTTTTGTAGCCTTAAAATAAGGGTTTACTTTTAAAAACCAAGATATTTCAGTTTTAGTTAATTTATTTAAAAAGTAAAATAAGTCCTTTAAAAACTCCACTGAACTGAAATGCGTGACCAAAACATTACACACCCTCCATAAAATAAATAAAAATTCCGTGACTTCATTAATTTTTTGTCCCATCTATTCATTTTTACAATAGTGAAATGATATGTAGCAACACAAAAGCTTTATTTCAAAAAAAAAAAAAAAAAAAAAAAAAGCTACTATAAATAAAATCAGGAAAAAATATCTTAAGATAAAAATAAAAATTTTCAATCGGGTCTAATTAAACTAGGGGATACTGTTGAAAAAAAATTATTCACTTTTTTTAGTATTTGTTCTTTTACTGACCGCGAACATTCAAATTTACTGTTTCTCCAAACTTAGTTTTACTTGTGAATGAATCATTTTTATCCAGATTTTTAAAAAAAAGTTTAGTAAATTTAAAAAAAAAAAAAATTAATGATTTGAGATTTACATTACAAAGTAAAAATAAATAAATGAGAACAGTAACAAATTAATGTTTAAAAGATGTTTCATTCTGTACTTAAACAAAAATAACATAATTTCATTTGGGAGTCTATGGTGTTGTAACATTGTTGGACATCCATAGTTAAATTCTCGATTTAATTTTTTTTTTTATTGAAGTTATTCACGAAAATATGGCCATTAAAAAATAAATTTTTAATTGAGCCTTTTTATTTTACGGCTCTTATCCGACTTAGCATTAAATAAATTTGTGGGCAATGATAATTGTCATTCATACCACTAAATAGCTATATTTTAAATAAACTATATGTTTATAAACAAGTCCGTAAATATTGTTCATTATTCAAATATTGAAAAAGCACAAATTTTTAGTTTTTATTTTAATGTTTACAAACGAGTTGCATATTTTGAAATTTAAAAACTTATTTCATGAGGGCGAAAATAACATTCTAAACGTGATAGACTGTTGCATTTTTTTTAAAACGGGAATACAAGACTAAGGTGCAAAAAACAAAAAGAAGTATTTTTATACGCTAGAGAAGAACGTGTTCTGCTTAGTAAAAGAAAGAATGAAAACAAAATTCTTGTTGAAACATCTTCTTACCTGATCCATTGGGACCAATGATTGCTGTAAATTTCTTGAACGGTCCGATTAGCTGTTTTCCTCGGTAAGATTTAAAGTTTTCAACTTCAATATATTTTAAATGACCCGGCATTTTGAATAAGTTTTAGGAAAACTTGATTCTTTTTCAATTCAATAATGTATCAGAAAAGATGATCCAGACTTTCCATCTCTAACACGCAGCCATTATGGGTGACAATTTTACCGCGAAGATTGCACAGAAAATTCCGTTTTCTGATTCGATAATAATTTATCTTTAAGAGAAAGCACATTTATACACTCTTTAAATATTAATTTAATTAAGTAAACAATTTAATGAAGTCAAATATGATTATTAGCTGAAAAATATTTTTATTGTTTTTTTTAACGAATCATATTGATTGTTTCATTCAGCAATTGTGGTTGCTGGGCAACGTTGTCGCTAAAGCATTTGCGGCTTTCGCAACGAAAGACAGCTTTTCTTTTTTCATTGTTAATTATTTCATTAAAATCAGAGAAAAATTGAAATTTAAAAATCATACAAAATGTACAAACTTGATCTACCAGTTGACTACAGGGAAGCGGCTGCCATTGAGCGACGTCGCAATATGGAAAAACAACGTCAAAGTCGTATATTTAATGCTAAAGTTCGAACGATCGGCGTAAGTATGAACAAAGTTTTTTGGACAGTTGTAAAAAAAGTTTTAATTTTTATAATTAAACATAAATTATACTTTATTTAATTGAATTTAACTATAACTTGTATTTTTTCACGACTTTTTTCTTTATATATCTATGAATCTGAACCGCAAAATATTTTTTTTTCCAGATTTCTAAAATCTTAATTTAAATTTTAAATTGAATTTAAAAAATTAATGTTCATTGGAGCGGAATATTTACTTCTGAATTAAAATGTGGTTTTTTTTTTTTTTCTTTTTAATTATATTTTTCTCTTCATTCTTATTATTATTCTAAAAATTAATGTTTACACATTAATTTTTAATTTTATTTATAAATAATCCCTGCACAATATTTATTTATTATTTTCATGTGTTTGCCAAAATGCAGACCAAACGTTGCTATGTCAACAAAACATCAACGACCTTCCTGATGTCAATAATTCTCAGCTCGGTATCTATGCTGATGACAATACTTTTTACTCTTGTCTTCATAAGTCTGATCGGTTCACTAAAGTCAAATTGGAAGCTGATGTCGAAAGTGATGTACAATCAATATGTTGTTAACTGGGGCAAGGAATGGCTTGTTAATTTTAATGCCTTCAAAAGTAATCGTCTCTAAGAATATCCTTTTTATTTTACATTCTATCAGTATGGCTGATGCTAACCTCCAGGTGTGACTCATTACACCTTCTAGGACTAACATTTTCTGCTGACATGAAGTGAAAACATTATATTGAATCAATTGCTAGGCATGCTGCTAGGAAAGTTGGTTCACTGTGTTATGCTGGGTAGATAATTTTTTTTGCCAGAATCTATCTTACATAAGTCTTTTTTACTTCAATGAACCAACAATCAGGCTGGTACATATACACCTCCCCAGCATTCAAGTCTGATTGGGGACCCCAGGCAGTGCTTTTTGTCCTTTCCTATCTTATCAACATTTACTCTCTCTCTCTCTCTCTCTCTCTCTATATATATATATATATATATATATATATATATATATATATAAAATCATAAAGAAAAAATTCCTTAAATAATAAGATCCTTATATTCAAGTTGCTTTTAGATGGAAGATGCATGCCAAGTATTTTCGACAATTTCAAATTGTCATCTTCAGGACACAATTTTCCCATACATAGGTAAACACCAAGACAAAATATGAGTAGACCAACATAAATAACATAATAATTTAAAAAAACATCTTTTGGTCAACACATATTTTATCTTGGTGTTTGCATATGTATGGAAAAATTTCACCCTGAAGATGACAATTTAAAATTCTCAAAAATACTTGGCATATGTCTCCCATCTAAAAACAACTCAAATATATGGATCTTATTATTCAAGGAATTGATAGTAAGTTAATGTCTCATTAAGTCTTGTTAGTGAAGTGATTTCACCATTACATTAACATTGCTAATCAATTCTTTGTATGAATTGTTTCTTTATGATATAAAATATAAGCTGCACTCCCTAATATGTTTATGAAATCAGATCTGCAGCACATAATAATCAGAATTTAAAATTCTGTGGAAACCTACTCAGACATTTTATTCTACAAATTGGATTATACTTAAATCCATGTGACTTTAATAGATAAACGCATATAACAAGAAAATTTTGTGGATTTATCACTTTTCAAAATTCAAACAAAATTCTCACTTTATTGATTAGAACAAGAACTCTAGCATCACGGCATTTCACACTCCAAAACATATATTTAACTGTCAATAAATAGGATAATTTAAAAAAAACACCTTTTGGTCTGTACATATTTCATTGGTCTACATATACTTTATAAGTGTTTGCCTATGTATGGGGAAATTGCGCCTTGGAGATGACAATTTGAAATTATCAAAAGTACTTGGCATGTGTCTTCCATCTGACAACAAGCCAAATATAAGGATCTTATAATTCAAGGAATTGGTAGTAAGTTAATTGTGGCAGGGGTGATATCACCCCTGAAATAATGATAGTGATAATAAGGAAGGATATGCTGTGAAGCAGAGGACGCCAGGTGAGGGAGAGGTGTTTTTGAATGGCCAAGATGTTGGTATGCTGTAAAGACTTTGAAATGTAAATCTTACAGAAAGTTAAATTAGAACATGAAATTAAAATTTTGACACTATAAGAGTCAAAGTTAAAATTAAGGATGTTTTGATCTAGAATTTATTTTTGAAACAAGACTCTCTGTAGTTTACAAAGAGCAGCAGAGTGGTTGATAGCAAGGTGATAAACAAAAATGTATCGGTGTGAACCTTAGAAACCAATTGATGAAAAAGCAAATTGTTTATTCTTGGAGAAGCAAAGTTGTACTTTGGTAATATGTCAGTACATTCACACTAGAAAAACAGATACATCACCAGTCTGGGACATGGGAGGCCGGTTCTCTTAATAAAGGGGTGAGCCAACTGAAGGAGGAGAGATTTTTCGATTCATTTGTCTTCGAATGCAGTCAAATTGAGTGGAGAGACATCAGAGATTGAAAAGGAAGTGTCTACTATGTATTGCTGAAGTTGAGAGTGAAGAAGCAAAATACCACCACTAACATCTAAGTTCTAGCTTCTCCTACTACTACTAATACTACTACTACTACTACTGAGAATGGGAACATTGAAGGTTGTAGTAGTTGCGCTAAGAACAGAACAAAAAGGGTTACAGCAAATACCACATCTCTCCTTACTGAAATTATTTGAAGTATTTGTGTTTGTTTGGTTATTGTTCACATACAAGAAACATTCAACCTTGTGCAACAAGAATTATTTTTTGTGTGTGTTTGCTTCTATATATAAAAAAAATTTTTGTCCTTTCAAAATCGAATCTTGGTTATATTCATTTTTCTCACCTGACAAACTCACAGTTGGACCAATGGAAAGATTCCAGATTTCTACGATCTGATGACCACTCTCCAGGATCAAAACAATTACAATGTGGCTGGAGGGTGGCTTCGAACTGACATTGGGAACCAGAGACTTGTGTCTAACCTGTAATACTGGACCATACCAGACCAACAAACAGTTTTATAGAGTGTGTGGGTCCAGTGGGGTGAGAATATGGTATTACAAATGTCTCATTAAGTCTTGTTAGTGGAGTGATTTTGTCATTAATTACATTGCTAATTAATTCTTTGTATAAATTGTTTATTTATGATATAAAATATAAGGTGCACTCTCTGATATATATATATATATATATATATATATATATATATATATATAGGATGGACTCTTCTGTTGAGTTCAATGTATTAGGTTCCAAAGAACACCTACTAATTATCTGCATGTCTATCTATGACGGGCAAAACTTTTGAGGCCAGCTCAAGAACTACAAACAGTACAGGAGAATGTATTGTATCTAAGTGCAGCAGGAACACTGTTAGCTGTCTTATTTCGCTTTCGTATTTCACACAGTCAGATGATGCATACTGCTTTATGGTGCTTTATTCCTGCATATATATATATATATATATATATATATATATATATATACACACACACACACACATATATATATATATACACACACACACACACATATATATATATATATATATATATATATATATATATATATATACTAGCAGTATAACACATCATCAACTGGGTCTTTCATTACTGGGAATTTTTGCCATTATATTGGAGCAGTTTAAGTTTAAAGTCAGCCCACCTGAAAATCAATATTAGTAACAACAATTGAGTGCAACTGGAGTACATCCCCAAATGGGGGGTGGGGTAACAATCTGAATGGGGAGGTGGCCCTGAAAAGTGCCGTTTTTTTCATTTGCAATCTTGTTTCAGCCTCACATACAGTAACAGTAGAAGAGGCCTTTCTCCTCAACTGTTGAGTCGTTTGATTATCATTTTCAGCCTCACACACATATGTGTTGAGGTATGTTCTTCTGGAAAGCTAATGGCTACATTGATCTTCAAACTCAGTGGCTCTGATTAAAGCATTCCAAGAGGCATTTTGAGACAAGTGAACTGAACATTCTAAAGACGATTCATTATCTCTTATTTGTATGGCGGACCTGGAGGCAGCGGTTTTGCGACCTAGGCAATTTCTTTTCTTTGGTGGCATGTCTTAGGCAAGTATGAATTGTCAAATGGAATGGTTGGGCAAATACCAGATGAGAACGCTGTAAAGTTACAAGGATCACTAAGCTCGAATAGGTTTAGAAAAGGTTGTAAAAATAAATGTTGAGTAGTAAAAAAGCAAGCTTACTTATTACTACGATGAATGCAATGCAAAAACTGGCAGGACAATAAAAAAAATCTAAATTGGGAATGGCTATAAACGACAATGAAAACAATGCCTTAAAACTATTGTAGTAGGCTTTATGCAACAGAAAAGGTAACCTCACTTGAGAGAGTTTGAAAGCTTGGCCAAAAGCGGGGAATGTGTAAGCAGGGTTGGATGTACGGAATTATGGAATTAAACGGTAGCAATAAGCTTAGGACTACATAGACAATCAGTGTGACACAGTGACATATATATATATATATATATATATATATATATATATATACACACAATATAAAAAAATTTATTGCTCTACTTTTGTATTGAGCCATGTTTTAAATGAATGTTTTTGAATGCTGAAATCTTACTCTTTTTTCTTTTACATTTGTATATATATATATATATATATATATATATTACTTACATGTTTGTATATACATATATATATATATTTCTGCAAATTTTTACATCATTCTGGAGCTTTTTTTGTCCAAATCCATGAATTTATTTTGCTCATGCTAAATCAAAACAATACTATATAAAATTCACTATCTCTTCATTCATAATGATGAATGCATTTTCAAGTTGATTTTAAAAATTGCCATGAAACATTGTTGATTTATTTAATATTTAATGATCTATTAAAACATGTCTACTTTGTATTTAGATACATTGTATTTATTTTTTATTTTTCTAGTTGAATTGCATATGATCCATTACTGTACATAATTAGCTTAGAATAAAATTTTTATTTTATATGAATACTACCTTATGAAGACTGGGGGCCCCTTTCATAGATTGGGTAGAACCCGAGAACCTTGCACCAGCCCTGCTGACAATATCCAGAGAGATTTGTAGGACATTATTTAAACAAATATTTTCCTGATTGTCATTTCTTATTCACTTTAACATCTGAGCAGGAAGAAAAATGAAAATGTGTTTTTTTTTTTTTTTATCAATCCAGATTGATGTATCGGCTATTGACTTGCAGAAACAGGAGAAGAAGCTCATTGAGGATCAGGAAAAGCAAAGAAATGCTGCCATGGGTTTGTATGAATTTTAAATAATCTATCCTCCCACCAAGCTTCTTTATTCCAAATAATTACGCTAAAAAAACATAATAACTACAGTAGACACAGATCCATGTTTGCAAAGTGATAATATCTTAAAGTAATAAATCTATTTTAATTATGTCAGTCTAAATTGGGTTCAGTGATTCAAAATCCATACTCAGAATTATTGGCAACCCTTAACTTTTGTTTTCTACAAAAGACGGTTTTTCCCTTAATACAGCTATTATTTTTTGCTACCTTCACTCCCTCGGCAATGTTTACTTATAAGATTAAAAAAATGTGAACCAAGTACAATGCAATATTTATTCTTTACCATTTTATAAAGAAATAAATTTGAAAAGAAATCTTTTATTAAAAAATTAAAAACAAGTTATAGAATTTTCAAAACATGTGAACCAACTACCATGCAATATTTATTATTTACTATTTTATAAAAAACTATGAAAACAAGTTATTTATTCATAATTCTATTAAAAAAATATCAATGAATTACTGCATGAAAGAAATGCCTGGAAAATGCATTTTTTCAAAGTTTATAATTACAATGACTCATTGTTATCTATTTCTTTAAATTTTCATTTTTGAAAGACGTTTTTTATGAATTTAGGAATGAAAAGATTATTTTCATATTTATTTCTTTACAAATTGATAAATGATAAACATTGCATTGTATTCGTAGTTGGTTCACATTTTTAGAATGTTGTAAATATCAAACTATTCTTCTAAATAAACAATCTACTAAATAAATAGTGTTTAATATTTTTGTTGTAAATTCTCAAAGAACAAAGAAAATGTATAACTTGACTTTCATATATTTCTTTTTTATTAAAATTCTAATCATCGCTTTTTAAAACAACAAACATTGCCAAAGGAGTGAAGGTTGTTAAAAAAGTGGTGTCAATGAGAAAAAAAAAGTCCTTATGTCTTATTGCGAGCCTTTTTTTTTACATGTTTGCTGATTCTACAATATCATCATTGTTGCAAATTTTCAAGAGTTATTTTGCATTCTATCTTTGCACAATATAGATGTGTGACAATATGCTTTACTCATACATCACTGCACAAACTGATGACATCCAAATTCAGTTATATGCGTATATACCCGGCTAACTATGTTCACAGGTTTGTTCATTTGGCCATGATTGAATTCAACAGAGAATAATGACAATTGCTTTTCAAGACACTGGTTGGGAAATAGCAACAATATAATTTCTCACTTCACCATGGTATTGTCCTCATTTGGCTGGTCAAGTTTGTGAACTGCTATCTTACTAACTTCCAGCCATGGAAAGAGGACCCTTACATTCACTGACCGGCACTGATTTGTCACTGCTGGTCCTTTCCTCTTCTCTGACTGCTAGTCTCTTCCTCACTGGCTGCTGGTCACTTATTCACTTACTGCTGACTTCCTACCGATCTCTCCTTATATGGATAGTGACTGGGGTCTCACCCCCTCATCTGAACCTTTGTGTTCCAGAACAGGAGACCACCCAAAAATTTGGATGGGTGGTTAGCTTCTTCAAAGGTTTACTCTTATGATTATCTAAAATCATTGACAAAATTTTATGTTTGCCAACTTAAAAGCAGGCTGAAGACAGGTATCCTGAAAATCCCAACAATTAAGTGAACTCAAAGATGGACTAGAGACAAAATTCCTAAGAAACACACAGATAATTAAGGGGGCATAAAAGGAAAAGGAATTTATCTACTTATCTCCTAAGGATGTGTGAGAAATCGTTTAATTACAGAGGTACTATAATTCAACACAATTGATTACACTTCATCCTTTTCACCTACCTAGTGGTTACAGACAGACATGCATAAATAATCAGACTTCTATGAGATTATTTATATATATATATATATATATATATATATATATATATATATATATAATTAAAAGCTGATAAAATTCAGGCCTAAAAGCCACTCCTGATTACTTCTGAAAGGAGAACTGAAAGTAGTTAATATAAATAGTCTCAAAGACTTTTAGGTGGAAATCCAAATGAATCTTCCTCAGTACCAAAAACATGTCTTGACTATAGGACTGGGAACACTGATTGTTAATAAATGCTGACAATCTTTTTAGCAATCTATTGCTGACCCAGATGTATCGACACACCTATGTAAATTAGCATATTCAAATTTTAAAAAAATATTTTCAACACTGTTGATTGAATTTGTAGGTGCAAAATCTATGGATACAAAAGGCTAACGGAATTATTTTCTACTATAAAATCAATTCTTGGTTATAAAAAGGAAAATTAAACATTACAAAATCTATTATTAAACTCGACTTTGGATTATTTTTTTAATCATTTCACCCTAAGTAAGGTAATAAAGCTAGTAAGATGTAAGGAGTTACTAAGTGTTAGAGAATATGAGGAAAATATACTATTAAGGAGAGAGGACAATAAAAGAACAAGAATTAAGAAGATATTGCATTTAAATTTTTGAATATTAAAGTTGACTGGAATTAGGAACTATTTTAGAGCAAGAGAATTTATGACCATTTTTGCTGATTTGCAGGTTTGTATTTTGTCATTTTATTTTCTGAAAGATGCTGACGCCTTAAGAAATGCCAAAATTGGTGAATTACTGGAAATGAGGCAAAAAAATGACATCAAAGAAATGAACCAGAACCTGAATGATTTTCGTCAAATGCATCAGCAGCCATTCAACCGTCGTGAATTTGATCTCTATGATCCTGAAGGTTTGAAAAAAGACAAGCCCAGCCGGGTGTCAGATGATGACCCCCGATGCACTATTTCCAGTTTACAGAAATTTGATGGTGAAGACATGAATTATGACAACAGGGTCTCATTTCAAAAAGAACAAATGCGTGAATGGCTTCAGCAACAGATAGATGAGAAAAAACAAGCAAAAGATCAACTTGCTGAAGCTAATCGGCTACATGATTTAAAACGAATTGAACTCGATGAACGTGCGTTGGCCCTGGCTAAAGCAGAAAAAGACTGCCAACGGAATATCAAATTGGCTACTGACAATTATAATCTGGCTCTGGTAAGTTGAATCTTAAATTAATTAAATTTTAGACCCAGTTATTAATTATACAATGATTGAATTTTAAACTAACTTTCAAAAAATTAAATTTTAAGCTTTCTAAGAGTTAAAAAAATGCTTACTGTTATATCATGTTGAAATACCAAGTCTCATCTGAACATCAAAGTTAAACAACATTGAGCCCAGTCAGTACTCAGATGGTTAACTACCGTGGATACCAGGTGCTATAAAGCAGGCCTAAGCCAAAATGGATACAATCTCACTACTTATACAGGTTGGAAATTTTTCATCTGAAATTCTTGGGACTGGAAGTGCTTTGGGTTTTCAGATTTTTTTTGATTTTAGAATACAGGTTATTTAAGTTTTATATAGCATCTTTAAAATGGGGCAGCTTGGGTATGGAACCCAAACATAAATAGGATATTCCTTTACATTTCATACGACAAACCCCGAAGTTAGTTTTATAAAAGATTTAATAAATTTTGTGTACATACACATACAGGTAATAGCACTAATCATGTAATATCCACACGGATTTTTAAGTGGTGAAATTAAGATTTCACATAAAAATAATGTTTTGTAGTTTCTCTTCATGTACAAAAAAAGCATGATCACTACTTACAAAAGCTATATAAATGAAAGACTTTTTGAAATTTTGAATAATATCTTTACTGAACATGAAAAACCTGGTAAGTAATACACTAACAAAGATGTTGCTGTGATGATTGCTATCAAAAAACTGGTGCCAATGTAGACTACATAACTGGGTTGGGAAACCCGTACCCAGGGCAAATGAGGTTACTTACAACAGCTGCTCATCACCTAGGAACCTTCCCAGTGCTTTCTGATATTTTCTATTTGTGGCAAGTCATATCAACACCTGAAAAACTTTCAAATTTGACAATTTCCTATATTGGATGCTCAACCTAAATGAAGACATTGATATGTAATGGTGATTCTAGACTGACAGGTTGCAAGACTTATCTCATGTTGGGTAAGTGAGTGAATTCTAAATATTTGAGACTACAACATACTAAATAGTTTCACACTTCCATACTCATAAAAAACAAATTCAACTGAATGATATATATGTTCCTCTGTCTTTTCTAAAAATATTTTCATCGCAACTGTTCTAACAAGATTTTTTCCTGGTGCTAGAACTATGTGAGTTTAAGCACGCTACTAGATTGGCATTTAGGTCCCACTCTTTTACTGTTGAATTAGTTAAATGTAACCGCCACTACTACTCCAATAGTTTCTTTTCTTGCACTTCCTGTCTGTGAAACTCCCTTCTATTTCCTTGCTTCCTTGATAAGTTCAACCTTCAAAAATTTGAATGCAATGTCAATTGCCACATTCTATCTTGTTGTTGTAAGCTGGTGCTGTTTTTTTTTGTTTTTTTTCCATGTTATTTTTGTTATTTTTTCTGGGTTTCTTTTCAGTTTTGCTCTAGCTTGGTGTATTATTATAAATTAGAAATGAAAACTGCTTGTCTAAGAAATGTAATAACTCCATCAGTTACAAAGGAAAATCTGTTTGTTTTTAATTATGACACCTAACAATGTGGAGTCTGTGTATGTGGAAGGGGGGAGAGAAACTGAAAATCTTTCTCACCTGTTTCAATGAATTCTAAAAGGCAAACTGAAATTGAGAACAAAAATTTGTCAAGTTATTAAATTTTTATTTCCTAAATGCTTTTTTTTTCCACAGGACAAAGAAAGAAAAGACCGAGAACGTTTAGCTAGAATACAGGAAGAAGATGACAACAGCACTGAAATTGCCAACTGCATATATGGTGACTTTCTCACAGAGAACACAGCTGCTGCTCAAAGTGCATTTGGACCTCATCGGATGATTCCTGGCAGGTGGAAAGGAATGAATTCTGAACAGAAAAATCATTTTCAAAAGGGACAAAGAGAACAACGCTTGGAAAATGAGGTCAGTATGAATTGTTAACTTTGTATTGTCTTGTTTTTTGAGAATTTAGATTATCTATATAATGCTAAAACTAATCTTGTATGTATGTATGTGTATTCCTAAAATACAGTTTGAATGATACATAATAACCCAACTCATTTAGGAGTATATTGTATCTGGAACTCCTGTCAAGTGCAGTGCCAAATTTCATTAAAATTAGACAAGTGGTTCTTGAGCTAGGGCAGTTTTTATGTTTTTATGGCATTTTTAATAAGAAATTCAGTATTTGTTTTCAATACACATTCTTATATCAATCCATATATATAAACAAACACTTGCATATTATATTCCAATTGTTATGTGTGTGAAAATTAATAATAAAATTGATAATATTGTTACCTCATCATTTTGTATCATGAACTTCTTTTAAAAGAAACCTGATGAGTTTATGTATGGTTTAGTTGGAATTTCAGATAATCAACAAGGCAAATAAAACTAATTCAACACAGAGTAAAACAAGTAGACTGAATGGATAAATAAAAAAAAAAGATGATGATTGATGTTGCATTTAAATTTTTTAAGATTATAAATTATTTCCTCTTGACTTGGTTGTTTATATGAATGAAAATAAAAAGCAGAATTCTCACTCATAAAAATCAGAAAACCCCAAAACATGACAAAATCATGAAAAATAAATTTTGGATACATTTAAACTGTTTAGGAACATAATTTAAATTTAAGATATTTTAGAACATAAATTTTCTACTCAAGGTGTTTAAGAACATAAATTTTTAGGGTTTAGGAACATAATTTTAAGATGTTTAGGACAATGAATTCATTTTCAAGGTAATATGGAACATAAATTTAAGGTTTTTAGGAGCGTAAATTTTAGGTATTTAGGAAGATAAATTTGAAGTGTTTAAGAACATAAATTGAAGATGTTTAGAACATAAATTTACATTTATGATGTTTGGGAACATTAATTCAAGGTGTTTAGGAAAAGAAATTTAAGGTGTTTAGAAAGATAAATTTAAAGTGTTCAGAAATATAAATTTATATTTATCGTGTTTAGGAACAAAAAAATTATAGTGCTTAGGAACATCAATTTAAATTTAAGGTGTTTAGTGATATAAATTTAAATAATGAACTATTCTGTTTTAATTGTGTAGAAAAATAAGATATATGAATGAATGAAAGAAGGGAAGATAGAAGTGTTTAACATCTGTTTCAGTAAAATGGAAAAGGTTGTCACTTTCAAATCTTTTCAACTGTACCCAATTCTTAAAATAACAACCAGCATACATATTCATGATTGGTATTGCAATATTTTGTTAAAGTTGTTAAGCTCAAATATTTAATGATGTTGTGGAATCTTCCACGTCAGCCAGTCACCACTGCTAGGAAATGCACTATTCCTGTGTGACTTTCACCACCACCATCTTACAAAATATATAACAAGCATTCATTGGTTAATCACCTTCAGTCTAGCTTGCTGATTGGTCAGTTTCGACCAATCAAATCACCACCACGTGACAGATCTATTTTGGCGCCAACTCATATAAAAACAAAACATGTGTAAACTCTCTCTCTCTCTCATGTCTCATTCCTTGCTGCCAAGATGTAATCTTCAGGAACTCCCGTCTTAACCTTTGCGGTCAGACGTTAAATACCATGACCAACATTCATGCAAGTACAAACTCTAAAATCTCCTCTGAACTCTTACCAACTCTACAAATCCACAATTCCAAACATGCTAAAGGAACTTTATTCTTCTAAACTACAGTTTAATAATTACGTTTTCTTTATGAGCTCAAGTACAAATATTTCCAAGTCTAAGAGACATAACTCTGTCAAAACCTTTCAGTTCACATGCATATATATCAAATACTTAATAAATTCAATTGTTACGTTTTGAAACAATACGTCATGATTTGTTTCTAATATTTTTCTTTAATTGTTGTGGATGAATGTTTTTAGAACACCAACACTAAAAAGCCTTCTGATCACTCAAAATACATTCGCCAGTCCCCAACAATGTGATAGGGGAATTTCTATGGATATTTTATTGTCATAGAATTTACTATTGGCTTATTCAGTCATTAACTAAAGAATTAAGATTCATCAGAAATTTAAAATAGAAAAATTTTCAGGGCTTAAAACTAATAAACAATTAATAACAATTTTATTTTATTGCTTAAGTAAAATAATTAAAATGAATACAAAAGAGGTAAATGAAGGTGTGTGTGTGTGTGTGTGTTGAAATGACCCTTATTGTGTGTACATTTACAGCTTGCAATGGATAAATTGTCATCTAAGTTACACAAAAATGAAAATATCACTGATTTTAACAGATATATTTATCAAAATTACACAAAAGTATCATGAAATATTATAGAGTAAATTTATTCAATAAAGTTACCATTGGCTTCAACCATGGCCTTCAGACAACTTCAGGATCTGCAAATCTTCTGGATGGTTTCCTTGTTTAAGTTAGTGAATGCTGCCATAATCCTTGCATTCAGTTCATCTTTGGTAATACAAGGCGTTTTGTTGGTCTCTCACTCAACTGTACCCTACAAGTAATAAAGGGAGTTGAGGTCTGGGTAGTTAGGTGGCCAGATATAAGGGGTGATGTGGTTGCAGAAATTGTCTGCCAGCCATGACTGGGTTATCCTGCTTGTGTGACATGGTGCAGAGTCCTGTTTCCAGAGTCTTTCAGCAGCCACCCTCTTGACCCAGGGCAGCACTATCTCCTCAAGGCATTTGATGTAGGCCTCTGTAGTGAGTCTGAAGCCATGTGGGAAGATGAATGGAGGCATAACATCACCATCACTAGTGATCATTCCAAACACCTTCATAATCTCCATTAGACCCATCCAACTCTTTCCAAACTCTATGCACTGTCCTCAGACTGACACCCAAACACTCTGAAATGTTCATATTGGAGCTTCCGGCATGAATGCCAAGCAGTACAGTTCCAAATTTCTGGCAAAGTGAATTGCATCATGATGCTCTCTTTCTCACAGATGGTGTCCAACTGACCCTACTATACTGTGCAGTCAACAAAACGTAAAACAAACAGTGCGTATGTGTGAAATCAAAAATATAAAATGTTGACAATTCCCCCATTGCACCGTGTATATATATATGACATAAATAAAACACTATGGTTAATGAAACAATGTTTTGGTGAAACTAAAATTGGCAAAAGAAGATGGGATACGTTGTTTAAGAAAGATTTTGATTGATTTGAAAAGATTCTTGTTTGTTGTTTTGTTACAATTATTATATATGCCATTGTGTAATCAAGTTAAAAATATTACATATTTATATAAAATTATGACCAACAATACAAATTTAAAGCAAAATGGCCAGAAATACATTTTATCTGTAGATGAAGGCATACAATTGTGTTCAAAATATATTTAGTTGAGGCCATAAAATTGTGTTAAAAATATTTAGATTTCAGCATGAGAATTTACAACAAAAATATTGAACATTATTACAGATTGTTTATTTACAACATTCTAAAAACTAATACAATTAAAACTAATGCAATTCAATATTTAACATTTATCAATTTATAAATAAATATGAAAACAATTTTTATTCATAAATTTATAACATTTACTAAAATTATTAAAATATGTGAACCAGCAATAAGGAAATCCTTATTATTTACCATTTTATAAACTTCAAAGCTAATGTTTTGCCAACCATACCAATAAATAATATAGTAAATAAATGGTGTAAATAATCTAATAAATAAATAGTGTTTATTATTTTTGTTGTAAATTCTCAAGGGACAAAGAAAATGTATAAATTCACTTTCATTATGTTTAGGTTTTATTCCAGTTCTGATCATCGCTTTTTAAAACAAACATTCCTGAAGAGTGAATGTAGTTAAAATAATATTGGTGTCAAGGGAAAAGCCATCCTTTTGACACACTGTTTTTTTACAGGCACAAAAATCCAAGTTTACTGAAAATAAATAGAGCAGTATAAATAGACTTCTTAGGTTTTATTGAGTTCTAGGAGTTGACTGTAGTCGGACTCATCGCGTCATTGCTTTTTTTAGCTGCCAAGTATGTGTTCCACCAAGGCTACATAGTTTTGAATTCAGAGTTTTCCTTCTCCTAAACCAGTTGCCAATACCTGTAGCTGGGGGGGTGTTGGAGAAGAGTTGGATTCATATCTTTCCCAAGGGTATTAGCATGTAAGTGAATGTAATGAACTCAACTAGAATTCAAACTTGGCTCTTCAATTCTTTAATCGGAACCACAATCCATTACTCTACCATACATTGAATTCTGATTTAAAAAAAAAAAAAGTCATGACTACTAGAAACTATGAAGGGGAACAAATAATGTGAAAGAATTAATCTGACTAAGATTAATAAGCAATTTTATTAAGAAAAAAAATAAAAGCAGAAAAATTCCAATTTTTCATAATTTTATTTAATTTTTCAGAGAAAGCGAGCAGAAGAAAAAAAACTGAAGGACCAATGGGATCAGCAGATGCTTTCCCAATCCAAAGCGGGCATGTTGATTGAGCGTGAATTTAATCGCTCTCAGAAGGATAATATGCAGAGGCTGTCTGATGAGAACAAAAGGCTTGCACAAGAACAAAGGGCCCGACAAGACTACTTGAACAAAGAAGTCTACACAAATGCACCAACTGCTGCCTATTTTACACAATTTAACACCACCACTCGATAAATACACATCTTGATGACTAACAATTCAGGTAACAATTACAAAAAAGCTCTGGAATTCATTGTTTCTTTTTATTATTCTTTTCACTTCTAAAGTAAATATGAAATATTTTTAAGCCAAAAATATGTCATCAAATATGGCAGAACCCCCTAATAAATATAACATGGACCAAGTGATATTAAAGCACTTTCTCAGGTAATAAAGAAATTTGTGGAACAAAATTTTAAATATAAATTCACTTAAATTAAATACCTTCTGTGGTCTCTGCTCAATGTCGAATCACATCCTCTTTATAGAATGAATATTATCAAAAAATGCTAATTACCACTAAGAATATTTATTGCTCTTAAAGTATTAATTACATGCCATTATGTCTGACAGAATAGAATGCAGATGGGTTAAACTTTCCTCCTAATTTTTTCCTATTATAGTAACATAAAAACTCAAGTTAACTTCTTAAATAAACTCGTCAAATATTGACTCTGATATGGATGTTATGCATGGCATTTAACTTGTTTAGAAATGTTTAAACTGTCAGCTATATCAAACTATTTCTTTGGACATATGATTAAAAATGTCTTCAGGCTAATGAATCCTTTAGGTCTTAAAGAAGACAATCCTTCATCCGATTGGTGCTACAGAATCACAAAGAACATTACCAAGTAACAAAACAATATCACTCGAACACTTTCAGCAGCAACAAAAATGTGTAGCACATGTAATTCGAAGGGAAAATAATGATATAATCAAAATGTTGATATCCCTCAGTATCAAAAAAGATTTGGAAGGTAACTTCTACCAATATAACAGCTAGTGCATTTGGTAACTTCTACCAATATAACAGCTAGTGCATTTGAGAAGTGTAATTTCCTGAAAACCGTTTTAAGAGAAAGTTTTTCTAGACTAAATTCATCATTACCATAAAAAAAAAACTAAGAGGAACAACTCTATAATTTCCATTTATCTCCCTTAAATAGGTTCTTTAATAAAAAGTTGTCAATTGATACATAATTAAAAATTGGTGGCTTCATTTGACAAGAAAATCCTTTATTCTCTATATTAGAATATTTTAATAGCATTGTGCTAACAAAATTTGTGCAATAATTTTCTGTTGTTGATGTGTTATGGCAACAAACTCACAAACAGAAACTGGATAATTAGAAATATACTCTTGTTTTACTTTTCAATTCAAAGCCCAATCATTTTAAACCAAAAATGGACCATCAAGTTTCAGTTTTAAATATATTTTGTTTGCTAAAATTGTTTTCATCAAAGATATCTCTAGTTTTCATATAAACATTTTGAAATAAGTTTTTGCCACAGCATAATCATTAGCAAGTGAAAGCCAGGTCAGCGATTGACCAGAGTGCCTCATGGGCGTGGTATTCTGACAGTGATGGATTGCCTTTGTTTGGTTAAGTCTAAAATGGCATGAATTCAATTGAGAGTTGCAATAATTCTGAAGCATTGATATACCTTCCACACCCTGGTTAACCACCAGCTAAGACCACCCACCGAAGGATGCTGAGCCAACATGCAACATACTTTCCTGTGATGTCATTCCCCCTTCTGCCTCTTAGAATACAAACTGCCACCATTCTCTCCTAATAAAACAAAAAGAAATTGTCCTTTTCATTGATACCATTTTATGTAGTAGTGTGAGGAGCCAGAGATAACTTAGAATGTAACACATATCAATTTAAAAGTGTAGAGAGTGAAGCCAAGCTTAGTAAAAGACTATGTATAATTTTTCACCAATCTAATTCTAAACTGTGTTAACAAAATGTCTTTGAAAATATTGCTGGATAAATTAAATCAATATAAAGACTAAATTATCTTCTGTGTGTTTTTCTCATCTTTCAGTGAAGAACCATATTGGATCTGTTTTTTTTTAAATACAAATATTGTATAAGATGCTTAATCATACTTGTATTTATCAAATAATAGAAATATAATCAAATTACCATATTTGCCTTCACATAACACACACCCTCACATAAGACATCCCATCCCATTTTACAAGGATATTTTGTGAAGGAAAATATTTTAGCATATTTCATCATATATTTATTGAAATCTATTTAAAGTGATTTGTAGGGCAAAATGTATAATTTTGTGCCTGCAAATACAATATTGTAACAGTAGACTAGAATAAAGTATGAAATCATATATTGTAACTTTCAGCTTCAAAGGAAAGTAAATTAAATTTGCCAAAGCAGGAAAGAAATACGAGTACATTTGTATCAATGAGTACTGGTACATATAAACAAAGCAACCTGATAAAGCCATATAAAAGTAAAGTATGTGAATTAATTCTTATAGATAATTATAGCAGACAAAGCAAAATATTTTTTTTCACTGAATATTACCAGCAGTATACTTGGTCATCCCCTATCTGTAATATGGCTGTATTAAGTGCAGGGCAGTTTTTTGGTACATTTAAAAAAAAAAAGCAAAAAAATGCATCTTAGGCGAATCCAAATACTGTTTGCTAAAAATCTTAGTGGTTTTTTCCGTTTGTATTTTGATATGGCTTCTGTTTTCAATCTGAATTTCTGGGATGGGAGGAGTTATCATTATCTACATGCAGACTATGTGTCTTTTTTTGTTTTAATCAAATTCATCCTAAACAAGGCAATAAAGCCATTAAGACACAAGGGGTTACTGGGTCTGAAAGAATTAAAAAACAGAAAACATTATGGAGGAGCAGGAACAATAGAAGAGTAATCAGGAAGACAGTTGATAACGATTGACATTGCATTTTCTTACTATATAAAACTCTCTGAACTTTGTATCTTGTGTGTTTGCCAGAAGTTATATATAAAGAGTGGGGAAAAGAAAGATATAAACAAGTCATATATAGAGTGTTGGGAAAAGAAAAATGTAAATTTATTATCGTGTAGGAAGTGGAAGATGGAGCTGATTTTCTTATTAGAAAATATATAAAACACACAACATCCGGCTCCAAACAGGATACACACAGCTGTCATCAAGTCCACACTACTCTCGCTTGTGAACTTCTTGACCTCATGCTAAAAGCGACAGTGAGGACAAACTTCAAAGAGATTGCTTCGGACTACAGCAACACCATCCACAGTAAGAAACAAATTCTATCTGTTGTATCCATGTTGACTTTTTCGCACAAACACACATATAACAACATTTCATTGTTTCTTCCATACATACACAAAGAGAATTTATATTTTATTTCAGAATGTTATTAATCCAAACAAAAAGACATTATTTTCCAATCTATGACCAATTGCTTGTATTCTTGTTTAAATTAATGTCCATTTGTTAAAACTACATTGTCTTTTTTACTGAATTTTATTCTTTCAATGAAAATCTTTTGATTATTGTAAACAGCTGAATTACGCACAGCCCCGCAACAATATTTTATGTTATTGTATCGAATTCCAGCACTCCGAATTTTGACATTCCAAGCTCTTATTGTTCAACTTTCTTCAAATAGACATTTTTTTAATATTGAAAGCAACTTCAATAACTACAAATAAATGTATTTTTAAAATAACTGTACTTTCACAAACTCTTCATGAAACTAAATGTAAACACTAAACATAACAAATTTGACCCAATGGGTCATAGGTGGTCTAGTTTATCAAAGTTGGCCAGAAAGCATGGTGCTGGAAGAGAATTCAAATATTTAACAAAGTGATAGGTGAATTTCTACAGATAGCTTATTGTTTTAGAACTCACTATGAAATTATTCCATAATTAACTTAAGAATAAGGATTCATCAGAAAATTCAAATGTTTTTTATCATATCACCCCAAGCAAGGAATAAAGCCACTAAGACACAAGAGTTTAATGAGTGTGAAAGAATAAGTAAAAGAGAGAAACATTATTAAGGAGCAAGAACAATAGTCAAGTAATCAAGAGGACAGTAGATAATGATTGACATTGTATTTGGATTTTTGAACAACAAAGTTGGCTGAAAAGAATAAAAACAGAAGAGAGTTCCACAAGCAAGAAGTGTGAGAAAAGAAACTGCTAGCATAGAACTTATGGTTACATCTAGTCATTTCAATTCAACTGTAAATTGATGAACCAACAATTGTCTAATGTAAATAAAATAAATTAAAATATTGAATTTCTTAAAAAAATACTGCATATCACATGTATTATTTGATAATCATAAAAAAATAATTAATTTTTTAAGAATACTCTTGTTTAATGAGGTATAATTTTGTATAATATACATTCACTGTATGAACATATTTTTTTTATTAAACATTATAAGCACTTGCCAAAATCTATAGTAAGCAAGCTAGTTTTATAATCCATTGCTAATATAGCCTTGTGCCAGACTAGGCTTAGTAATTATTGATAATGTGGTGAAGAGGACAGTAAGCAGGATTTGGGCATGAATAGTTGCAGTGGTGAGGTCTTGGTCCTGGATGAGAGGCAAGAGGTTAACTCGGCACCCTCTACCACAACTAATGGCCAACAACCTGGGATGGATTAAATACTATTTTTTTAAAAATTCAAATACAAATACATCTCACAATTATTGACATGGTATAATTGGAAATGCAAATATAAATACAAGTAATTTTATTCCAGATTTCCAAAATACAAAAACAAATACAAATACTTCTGAAACTTGGCAAAAATTTTAATAAAAATGCTTTTTCACACAACTAAAAATGCTCTGAAAATGTATTTAAATACAATTCAAATACATTTTTATTTGATCTGCCACTACCAACAAGTGCTGTGCATTGACAAAATTTGAATTATAAAATGTCAAGACTAGAGCAATTCATTTCATATATTTGAATTCGTAAAGCCATGGCATACGACCAGGCTTGGTGGTGAAAAATTTTTCAATAGCCTCATCCACATTTATGTGTCCAAATTCTTAATTTTCAATGCTTAATAAAGCCAAATTGCTGAGGCCTTCTTGACACATTGTGCTTTGGAGATAGTTTTTTATTAATTTTAGTTTGCGGAAAGATCGCTCACTGGACACCACAGAGACA